TGCCTGCTCCCAGCCTGGCTCTGGCAGAGACCAGCACGTTGTGGGGGGCAGAGGGGTGTGGGGGCTGTGGAGAGCGTGATGTGAGGGAGCTGGAAGGAGAGAAAGAGGCCAGGAGGCGACATCCTAGAGGGGAGTAAAAGGAAGATGAGGAAGCGTCCAGGTAGGAGCTGCTCCCCCCACCGCCATTTTTGAAGCAAGTGCCTACTTTGAACCAGGCTCCATCAAGCACTTTCTGAGCATTAACTCACTTAGTCCTCACAATAGTCCTAATTGGCAGGTACTGTTATTCTGACTCCCATTTTCCAGATGAGAAACTGAGACATGGAGAGGTCGAGTGGCCTGCCCAAGGTCACAAACTGGGAATTCACAGAGGGAGGATTCAAACCCAGGAGAGGTTCAAAGTCCCGCTCTTAGCTCCCTATGCTCCCCTGTCTTTCATCCCCAGCCCTCCTTCTTAAAGTTTCTTCTTCCTTTTTGGTCCCTTTTTTCTCAGCATTTCCCCAGCCTGGCTTTACTCCCCCAGGACATGTATTGGAGTCTACCTGGCCCACCAGCCCTGCTGCATGTATGACGCTTGCATGACACTCATGCACGTGACTGGGTGCCTATGTGCATGGGATGCATGTGCACACCTTTGCACTGTAGCACGTGCATCTGTGTGTCTATTGATGTACACAGGCCCAACCACGTGTGCGGCCACCATAGACGCCACACCCTGGGCAGGTCTGGAGTGTTCTTCTCACCAACAGAGTGTTAACTATGGCAAAATAATCCCAAACAATGGTTGAGCCAAAAAAATCTGTTTGGCTTTGCAATAAAGTACTGCCTGGCATATGGGGTTTTTGGCAATGCATTTACCTTTCTAGGTTGAACTCAGGCTGATGTGGTTTCCTGCATGTCTGTGGCTTGGCAGCCTGGCTTCTGGGGGAATGAGCCTCTGAGATCCTGCCAGATGCCAAGCCCTCAGCAAGGCACTTCCAGACACTCTCTCCAGTCCTCACAGAAGCACATGAGGCAGGTCTTGATGTTCCCATTTTGCAGGTGGGGACCCCGAGGCTCAGTCACACAGGGAGAGTAAGGATTCTGACCCCAGGTCAGCCTGAGGGTCTATAAAGCGTCAGTGTCTGCAGGTGGATTGGCAAGTCAGACATGTGACTTCACAGGCACGCCTCATCCATCTGGAATGTGGCAGCCTCACTGCCTGGGGCCTTCTTCTGTGGCCAGGTGAGTGGTGTGGATAGGCTGCGGTGGGTTCATGCTGAGCCACTGTGCAGAAGGCCCCACACGGGCCAAGTGCAACTAGATATTCACAATCTCCTTCCCCAGTGATGACGAAGACCATCGTGATGACTCAGGTGACACAAAGACTGTACAGACTTTTCCCCACCTAGAACTTAGGCATATCCATTCCATCCATTGGCATTCCTTGAATACCTACTGTGTGCTAGCATTTATTGGGCCCTGAGGACAATACCAATAGGCATCAAACTTAAACTCTCCTTCTTTCCTATAGCTTAGGAAAACAGTCTTCAGGTATGGAAATAGACTTAATATAAGGTTAAAAGAAACCAAAATGTTGCAATGGAGCTGCAGATAGGAAGGGGGGACCACTGCCAGCTAAGGACACCAGGAATCACTCTTGGAGAAAGTAGTGTGATGGACCTTTAATGTTGGGGATGACTTGATGCAGCAATGAAGGGGAAGAGGTTCTTGGTTTCCCAAGGTAGAGGTGGGACATTAGCAGGTAGACGTGGAGAGAACAAGTAGCTCCATTTTTCTGTTGCAAAAACCATGAAAGTGGTGGGGGGAGGTGGATCAGATGACTTGAGTCCTGCGTTCCAAAGCCAGGAGTTTGGACTTTTTTTTATTAACAATGGGAAGTCATGGAAGATTGTTGCTCATGGGAAGATGTCTGGCACTGTGTTTCAGTTAGGCAGCCTAATCTGGAGTTGTGAGCAAAGTAAATTGGAAATGTACATGCATGTATACATATAAATGCATGCACATCCTTAGAAACATCCAGACACGTGTATACAAATGTAAGCACCCCAAAGCTTAGGGTAATTCCTGAGCCCTGTTCTTTTTAAATTTTGATTTTTTTTTTTTACTTGAATAGCTATTTTTTACTTGAATAGTTAATACATGCATATGATGAAATTCAAAGCAAATCTCAGAAAATACTCTGGAAAGTATAGTTACTCCCTCTTGTGCTCCAAGTCTTTAGTTCCACTACCTAGAAGCGAGTATAGTAGTTACATGGGAACTTCTGTGCATAGAGAAGCAAATATATGGCTGCGTTTTTTACTCTGTAACTTATTTTTCTCATTTAAAATCCATCTTGAAGATCCTTACACATCAGTACATGGAGAGCTACCTTGATCTTTTTTCTTTTTTAAAGATTTATTTATTTATACAAGCACTGGGTGCAGTCAGAAGCATGGGAGGGTGAGAGAATTCACCAGAGCCAGAGCGGGGAACAAAACAGGCAGATGGACCGAAAAACACTGTTGAGGGGAGCAGCGGGCAGCAGGAGAGGTCTGTGCGCCATGTGGGACCCTCGCTGGTAGCTGGGGATCGAACCGGTGCTGCAGTGGCTGTGGGCAGCTTCGCAGCCCAGCGCTCAAATGCTGCGCCTCCAGGGGAGGCCCTACCTTGATCTTTTTAATAGCAGTATACTATTCCATTGTAGTTAGACACATTATTTCTGCTCTTTGACTCTTACAAAAAAATTTGCAATGAATAACTTTTAGCATGTCATTTTGCTATTTATATTTATCCATTCATTTACTCAGTAGACACTTATTGAGCAATTGCTATGTGCTGGCCCACACAGAGATAAAGCAGTGAAAAAAATGGGCAGAAGTCCCCGCCTCCATTGAATATACATTCTGATGTGCAAGTGGGAGTAGATCTGCAGGATCCTCTCCTAGAAGTGGAATGGCCAAGTCAAAGTGTCTATGCATTGAAAAGATTTTAGTAGATACAGCCAATTCCTCCCTCCCTCCCTCACACATCTTATACCAGTTTACCCTTGCAATGTAGGGGGGGGTGTCTATTTTCTCATCCTTTGACCAAAAAAATGTGAGAAAATTTTTTGATCTTTGCCAATGGAACAGGTAAAAAATGACTGTAGTTTTAATTTGCATTTCTCTAATAATGAGTGAGGTTAAACATCTTTTCATAATTTAAGAGCAATGTGAGGTCTTTTTCTGTCAACCACCTGATATCCATTGCTCATATTTCTATAGTTGCAGCTCTTTTTCATGGTAGATAGTCTTTATCATTAAGGAAATGAGCCCTTTGCCTGTAGCACAAGTTACAAATAATCTCTCCCTAGCTTGTTGTTGGTATTTAGGCTTTTCGTCTGATGTTTTCTTTTTAAATGCAGACTTTTTAAAATGTAAGAATGGAAGATTCAGAAAGAACTCTGCTTATTCCCAACTTTCCCTTCCATGGTAAAATGCTTGCTAGAGTTGAGAAAGATGCAAGTCAAAATAGCATGATCTTGGGCTCCATTATAGAAGCACAAGTTCTAGGCAAAGGAAGGTGATAGTTCTATCCTCTTCTGGTGCCCCATCTCAAGAGGTCTTTGGACAAAAGGGGAGCAAGCTCAGAGGATAGTAACTGAAAGGTGAATAGGTTTGAAATCAAGTTACATAGGATTGGTAATGGAACAGATGTCTTTGAACCTGGAGCAGATCATTGCCTGTGAATATCATGTTGAACAATGGGACTGGTCACATGATGCAAATCCAGGCCTGTTTTGGAAGCTGTGGGAACACAAGTGTCAAATAATGGGGCTCTTTTTAAGGCAGAGCCCTCTCAAAATAGTGGCCTACTTTGTGAGGAAGTGAGCTTCTTGTCATTAGAAATACACAGACCAGAACTGGATGACCACCTTCTGTAGTTGCCAGGGGTTATACCAGATGCCTTTCAGCATGTCTTTTAATCCTGAGAGCCCATATTCCATAAGACCACAAGAATCTTAAAATTCCCCATTTTATAGATGAAGAAAAGCAAGGTAGGAAATTGACATGAATTAAACACTCACTCTGTTCCAGGCACATATCACCTGATTTAAAAGAATGAGGAGCAGACTTGAGTGATTCATCTAGAGCTACACAGCCAGAACTGGAACCCAGGACCCCACACTCTAAATTTGGAGATCTTTGCACAGAACTGTCTTTTTCTGTTCAGTAATTGCATACATATTCTGGACTCTAATGTGGCCCATGAGAGCACATTATAGACAGGTTATTAGCAAAGTCACAGTCTTTGCTCTGCAGAAGGACACTACCTAGTGGACAACTATAAGCACCATTGCTTATACTTGCCTGGCTCAGTGTGAATGGTCTCATACAACATGGTAGACCTGGCAAGACCTATATGAAATACAAGGCAGTTTGGTATGTGTGGTAATAGGACTGTGCACCAACTGCCAAAGGAACACAGCAGATATGCTTCTGCTATGAAGGGAATCTAGGAAAACTGCCCAGAAGAGGTGATATTTGAGCAGGGCCTTGAAGGATATGTAAAAGAACAAAGGGCAAAAGAGAATAATTTCTAGATTCATTCTGAAAACATTTATTGAGCAGTGCCAGCTTGCCAAGAAGAGATGAATAATTCACAGTCCAGTAGGGGATGCAGAAAAATGACCAATAAATTGTCACAGAGTGTAAATGCAACAGTGGAAATAGGCTCATGGTTCAAAAGCAGAGAAAACTCCTCCCGAAATAAAGTGGTGGTGGCGGGGGCGGGGGAATGTCTGGCAAGGCTCCTGGAGAAATCAGGTTTGAGATTTTTGGAAGGGAAATAGAACATTTCTAGGCGATAATAAGGAAGTTGGGAGAGACTGAACAGTCTCTCAAGCAAAGTCTTCAAAGATCACCCACTCTTCAGATACCCAAAGCAGCTCTGTAGGGCTAGAGTGTCAAATGCTGGGGTGGTGGGCAGCCAGGCAGGAGGTGGAAGTGACATACAGGCTTTTGGGTGGGACCTACCAGGTTTCCGGATGAATGAGGAAACGGTGTTGGTGTGCACCAGGATTAGCAGGCTTAGCAACCTTCCTTCAAAGCCGTGTCCCAGATTGAGAGCTGGGAGAGAAAAGTGTGAGCCATAAATCCCCAGCTCCTCCTGCTGTGCCCAGTGCCGCAGAGCCGGGAGTCTCCACGGCTCACAGTCCCACTGCTGCGACCCCAGCTAATCCAGCCTCCTGGCCCATCTGACACACACTTCCACTTAACATTTTGTTAGCGACTCTATAAACGAGCTCTCCCTGACCTTCAATCCCTGGCTAATTGCTGGTTTCATGTACAAGACTAGCTTAATTTTACGTGATAATTACCTGAGAGTGGCAATACATATGGCATTGCATGTTCGAAATGTCAGGCCTGGAAAACTACCAAGTGGCCGTAGTTAGGGGCAAAAGGAGGAGGCAGCTGGGTGGCGGGGCCTTGGATATGAAGCCAGGGCATGAGACCACAAAGGAAAAGAGCTCTGAAAAATTGGGGTCCCTGTTGGTGGGAGGGCCCAAAACCCTCTGCTAGTCCAAAGCACTCAGGGGCACAGGCCGCATGCACGCTTCACCATCACAGTGTGTGCACACACACATGCATCTCAGAGAAACACACACACCCTCTGTCACCCATTCCACAAAAGCTCATGGAGCGCCTGTTACATATCAGGCACCACTTGGGGGTGTTAGAAACATGAGGAGGGCATTTTTGTGGTTGTCACAGTTATTTGGGTGATGCTGGTACCGAACAGGCAACTCCGAGGAGTGCTGTTACAGTGACTTGCAGTCCCAGCACAGTCTCATCCAGTGAAGAACTGTCCACCCCCGACACCTATGGTGGTGTCCTTGTGAAACACCCCACAGGGAACCCCTACAGCGAAGCCGGGGCCCCCATGGGAGCCAAGTGGCCCCTGCCCTCTTGGGATTTACAGTTGGGGAAGGATGATGATGACAGGGGATTACAGTGTCTGAGAAGTGAATAATGAAGGGGAACTTGGGACATTATGCTGATAAACTAACAAAATCTAGGGTTCAGGAAAGAGCTCCCTTAAAAAAGTATCATTTCTGAAATAAGCCAGACACAAAAAGACAAATGCCATACCATTCCACTTAAATGTACCTAGAGTTATCAAATTCATAGAGACAGGAAGTAGGACTGTGTTTGCCAGTGGTGAAAGGGCAGAGGGAATGAGGAGCTACTGTTTAATAGGTACTGAGTGGCTATTTGAGGAAGATGAGAAAGTTCTGGAGCTGGATGGTAGTGGTGGTTGCACAGAGATGTGAACGCACTTAGTGCCAGTGACTATCTATTTGAAAATGGTGAAAATATGCACCTTTTAGTGGTGCATATTTTACCACAATTTTTTAAAAAGCACCATTTCAGCTACAATCTGAAGAAAGGGCAGGACAGGGTCTCCCTGGTGGCTCAGGGGTTAAGTCTCAGCTCTATCAAGCTATCACCACCCACTACGATATGAGTTCGATCCCAGCCAGGGAACTAACCCACATGTGCAGCAGACCTCTCCTGTCTTGTCTTGCCCGCTGCTCCCCTCAGCAGTGTATTTCAGTAGATCTGCCTGCTCTGCTCCCCACTCTGTCTCTGGTGAATCCTCTCTTTCTCTCTCTCTCTCTCTCTCTCTCTCTCTCTCTCTCTCTCTCTCTCTCTCTCTCTCTCTCACACACACACACACACACACACACACACACACACACACACACACCCGCACCTCTGACCTACACCAGTTCTTGTATGCATAAATAAATAAATTTTTTTAAAAAAAAGGTTTATTTATTTATTTATACAAGCACTGGGGTACAGGCCAGATGCACGGGAGGATGAGAGAATTCACCAGAGCCAGAGCGGGGAAGAGAACAGGCAGAATGATGATATACACTGCTGAGGAGAGCCCTGAGCTCCACAGGAGAGGTCTGTCGTGCCATGTGGGACCCTCGCCGGCAGCCAGGGATTGAATCGGCCCTGCAGAGGCTGCAGAGGCTGCGGGCATCTTCGCAGCCCAGCGCTCAACCACTGCGCCACCAGGGGAGGCCCTAAATAAATAAATCTTAAAAAGAAAAAGAAAAGAAAGGGCAGGACACATGTCATTAATTCATTCACTCTGCACGAGTTGAGCATCACCAGTAACACACAGGGTTTGGAAGAACTTCTATCTTCTGCATTCTAGCTTGGATAAATAAAGCCAGCTAGAATGGGACTCCAGTGCTTCCATCCAGCAGACAGGAGAAGCCACACATGCATATGGCTCTGATTCAAAGTAGAATGAGTTCAAAGAGTGGGATCAATAAAAACTTGGTGAGAAGTTTTATTTAAAAACTTGGATCCTTTGTAAGAAATGGCCACCACACACTATTGAGGGTGAGCAACTCTTATATAGACTGAGATGGGGTGGAGTAGGGGCCTCTCTGGGCATGATGGGGGAGAAGAAGCTGTTTCCTATAGGCCTGGAAGACCTATTGATCCAGCATTTCCCGTTCATACCTAGAATAGTGCTTGGCCTGAGACAGGAATACCAAGTGGTATCAGTGTGTCTGTGCACACCATGTGCCTCTGACCTGGGTGCCTCTCACCTGGGTGCACACATGCCCTGTAGAGAGCTTGCTCAGGCTCATTAATTTTATTTTATTTAGATTTTATTTTTATTTATTTATGAATAGAAAAACTGGAATGTAGGCCAGGGGTAATGGGGGGCAGGGGGCAGTGGTGCGAGCACTCACCAGACACAGAGTAGGGAGCAGAACAGGCAGACTGACTGAAATACACTGCTGAGGGGAGCAACGGGTGAGACAGGAGAGGTCTGCTGTGCCATGTGTGTTGCTCCCTGGCTGGGGATCAAACTTATGCTGCAGTGGGTGGTGATAGCTTAATAGTGCTGAGACTTTAACCCCTGTACCACCAGAGAGGCTGGGGTTCATTTATTTTTCATCATTCCAGGGTAAGGGTTTGGCAGGCAGGGTCTAAGGTCCTGGGGTTGTGGGATAAGGGAGGCCAAAAAAGAGAAAGGGTATCTGGCCAGCTGGAGGCCCTTCTGCAGGATGTGCACGTTCACACCGGCTCAAAGACACCCAGGCCACAGGATAAAGCACGAAGCATAATCTTCTGATGAAGACGAGTTCTAGAAACCCCTTTAGCCTCCTCACCCATAGAGTTGTGAACTCCTGAGCTGTGTTGGAGTAAATTACTTGCTTAATGAGATTTCAATTAACAAAAACAAATTAAAATCACTTTGGTAATTAAGCTGCTGTGAACCTCACCAGAAGCTCTCCTCAAGCCTCAGATTTCCATGGGAGGGAGCTGAGAATAGTGGTCCACTCAGCCCTGCCGAGGCCTAGGCAGGGTCAAGAGCTCCCTGCCTTATAGATTCTAACCCAGCTTCCTGGAGCCATTCTGTGGGTACCAAAAAAGTTGGTAAGCAGGAGAGGGCAGCACATAGAAGGTAAAAAGTGGGCTTTAAACATTCAAATTGTAGCTCTGCCATTTTTGGCATTTCTGACATTGATGGCTGTGTGAGCTAGGGCATGTTAAATAACCTCTCTGAACTGCAGTTTCTTAATCTGTGAATTTGGGATAGGAATACCTACATCAGGGCCTCCCTAGTGGTGCATGTGGTTGAGCACAGCGCTGTGAAGCTGTCCACAGCCTCTGTGGTGTGGGTTCAATTCCCAGCCGGCCAGGGAGGTACCCACATGGCACAGCAGACCTCTCCCGTCTTACCTGCTGCTCCCCTCAGCAGTGTATTTCAGTCAGTCTGCCTGTTCTGTTCCCTGCTCTGTCTCTGGTGAATCCTCTCACTCTCCTGCACATCTGGCCTATACCCCGGATCTTGTATGCATGAATAAATAAATCTTTTTAAAAAATACCTACATCACTGGGATGTGGGAGGATTCAGGAGTGCATGAATGTAAAGCATTTAGAGGAGGGCCTGTCCCACATCAAGGACTTTTAATCCACTTTTTGCTGTACGGGGCCAAGTTCCTCACAGGGTAATTTTTCCATCCTTGCAATTTGCTTTGTCCTGAACCCCAAACCCCTCAGAGTAGCCCTGAGTCAGGTGCATAAGGATCTGGTGAGCTGAGGTTTCTGTCACATTCTGTGCCACTCAGGCCCCAGCTCCTTCCACTAGAGTTGGTAGCTCAGACCTGAGAGCTATAATGCTTTTTCTTCTCAGGCAGCCTGAAGAACAAGTACTCCTTTCCCTAGGTCACAAAATCACCAATGTCCTCCTGCATGAGAGGCCTGGAGACTAAGCAATGCAGGTCTCACTGGCCCCATTCCTCAGTTGAGGAAATCAGTTTAGCTATTTACCAGGGATTGAAAGAGAAGAAGCATGCCCAGTGCTGGCAGGAGGATGGAGAACCACATTCCCATCCATCGCTGATGGAACTGTAAATTAGCACAACCTTCTGGAGGGCAAGTTGGCAACATGCCGCAACAGCTTAAAATAGGCATTCCCTTTGCTCAACAATTCTCCTTCTAGGAATTACTCCTAAGGAAGTGATATAAGGTGGATGCAAGGTTTTAAATGCAAGAAAGCTCATCCTAGTATTGTTAGAGAAAAAAAAATGTTTTTAAGTGGAAGTAACTTTCCGACAACCGGGTTAAATGTGTTATAGTGCATTCTTGTTCTAGAATACCATGCAGCCTGGCAAAAGCATGCACTAGGCTGTTTGTGGGAAAAAAAAAAAAACACATATAGAGAAAATATTCCACAGAGCTTTCTTGCAGTGTTAAGCTTTAATAACTTCAGAAGTGTAAGCACTAACAGCTTACTTTTTAAAAATACCATTTGTGCAATTATTTAAATGTCTTTTACACATATTTAGTCCTGTGAATATAAAAACTAAAATAAGATTTTAATTTTTGAATCACTATTTGCTGCCTTCATTCAGAGAGATTGAGACAGAAATTTAAAATTAAAAATTTAGTATTCAAAATTCACAAAACTAGTATATAATAATTATTTAAGTTTTAAATGATTTTTTTAAATCATTAGCACTTATATTTTTAAAGTTATTAAAGTAAAAATTGCACTAAGCCTTTTGGGACAGATATTTTTATGTCATATATAAATATATTATATGTATAATGTTTTTTATACATACCCATACCCCAAATGTTATCTTGCAGTAGTAGAAATTACAGGTGTTTTTTTGTTTTATGTGTTCATTCATTCAACAAATATTTTTTAGTGTCCAGAAAGTGCTACAATGTACAAGCCAGAATCAAACCCTGTCTTTACAGAGGGTATAGCCTGCTGGTGCAGATGGACATTGGAGATGAAACAATGGGGCAAAGTTGCAGAAAAGGAATGGCAGACCCTTGGAAGCCTGTTACAGAGGCAATCCTGGGGTGGGGGAGGGTCTGCAACAAACATTTATTTCTTTTATAATTGGACTAAATCAAAACCATTTATATACATGTATTTTTCAATAAATCCCAAGAGTCCCATAGCTAGTTAGTAACAGAACTGAAAATAGGCTTAAAAGTCTTCTGGTTCTCAGGCAAATGATTTTTTTTATCTGACATCAATACCCTGGGTAGTTTGAACAGCATCCTGGTCTTGTAAAAATATCCCAAGATGGGTGAAGGCGATGCCTAACAGAGCTTGTCCCATCTCTGAGCCTGTCAGAGGAGGAGGGGTCCTGTTCACACATCCATGTCAGGCAGAGGAGGCTGTCATCCAGTGCGAGCGCAGGGGTGTGTGTGTATGTGTATGTGTGTGTGTGTGTGTGTGTGTGTGTGTGTGTGTGTGTGTTGGGTAGATGATGTCTCCTCATCATCATGGAGTCAGAATCCAAACATTGCTTGGTGTCAGCGGCTCCATCCTTCTGACCACCTTGACCTCTAACACTCTTTCAATCCAGGACAGCACAGGGGAGCCAGGACAAGGGAATAACATCCCAACACCAGGAACCTCCCACCCCTGTTTCCTCCTATCCCAGAGGAGTGACAGCCTTGCCACCCCCTCCCCTGGATCCCTCTGCCCTGGGGAGGGGCCCGTGAGGGTGCTGTCTCTGAGCACTCAGCTGGAATGACGGCAGCCAAGGCCCTGCTTGCCCCCCACCTGAATGTGCTGCCCACGGGTCCTCTCCTTGCGCGCTTCACTTATCGTATTTTGTGCTGACTTCAGGCAACCAAGAGAGGAGGACACAGAGTTTGTACTTTCCAAGTAGATGGAAACCCTTAATCAATGTTAATTGGCTCTAATTAGCATATGTTAATTAATGATATTTACTACAAATTAAAGGTATGAGTGCTCCCAGAGGGTTTCCTGTTCATCCAATTAGTGCCAATTAGTTGCAATTAACACGTGTAAATGAGATTCCATTGAACCCAAAACAAACAGCACAGAATCTCTCAGATTCCCTCTTGCACCTTTTCAGTCAACTAGGGGGTGGAGGGTGGGAAGTTAGGATGGGAGGAAAAAGAGAGAGAGATACCCTTGGGCTGACCTCCTGGAGCACTATGCTGACTGTCCATGCACTAAAGTTGAGCCAAACAAGCTCCTGGACAAGACAGACTAGCCCTGGCTGCTTAGAGGGAGGTCTCCTGCAAAAGGTCACTGGCCTTAACACATTCCTGAAAGCCAAGGGCCATCCTTTGGGCAAATCTGTACTTGCAAAGGGATAACCAGTGTGTGGCACATAGTAGGTGCTCAGTAAAAATTGACTGAGCTCAGTAAAAATTGACTGTTTCTTTGCAACAAGGTCCAGTAGCTTTAGATATAAATGTCAAGGATGCAATGATTAGAAAATCATGCAGTGTTTTCTTCCTCATGAGGTTTTCTCAGGGGCCCTACCAAGAACAAGACAGTTTTTGCCTCTTTGACATCATTTTAATATAACCTGTCTATGTTTACAGAGGTTTCACTGTACTGCTGATGTTGTCATCCTCTACTTTCATTTCCATTTAGCCAACTACTCTTTGAGGCCAACCCTCCGTCCTTGTGTTAACTGGATAGAGAAACAGCCAAAAGAGGTGACCATGAACCATGAAATATCACACCAGAGTCTCTACCACACAGGACCTTCCAGGAAACTATGATGTAAAACATAGCACCCAATAAGTTGTTCATTCCTCACTCACTGTTGCTGCACCAACCCTTCCATTAAATTTGACCTTGGTTTATTTTAAAGTAGCTACTGTTCACTATGGGCCAGACACTGTTCCAGAGGCAGGGAGACAGCAGTGAATGAGACATCTACAAACCCCTGCCCCATGAAGCTATTACCTTCCCTATGGGGATTGTGATGTCTACAATTGGAGAGGCTTGCGTTCATATTCCCAGTTCTGCCTCTCAGCAACTGATGACAGGGGGCAGGGGTGAATATTTAATCTCTCTAGGCCTCAGTTTATATATCTGTGACATAGGTATAGGTACCTATAGACCTGTCTTACAGCCATGTTATTAGGAGGATTAAGCTTCCCCCCTTGTCCTATTCTTTGGCAAGGCAGACTTGGATTTAAGCCACAGGAAGGTCAGAGATAAGGAGGCAAAACTCAATCTGAGCCCACAAATGAAGGTCTGGCTCAGTCCCTCTCTATCTGTATCTACACCCAGGCTGACCACACCAGCCCCCCCTCCACCCCCACACCTGCTGTGCACTTCAGTTTTTAGAACTATTGCTATTGTTCAGTGGGCAAAGAGGAAATGTGTTCAGGAAGGGGAAGTGCTTCCTGGGTCATGCAGCTGCTGAGGCTCCTCTAGGCATGTCCCTCTCCATCCAGCATCCTTCTGAATGGTGAGAGACATGAGTGGACTCCTGAAAGGGTCACTCCGGCTAGCCAGGCGCAGGGATTGGCCTACCTGTGTCAAAATGAGCCTGGCCGAATGTAAACCTTTGTTGGGGCTGTACCAGGGCCTGGGGGACTCCTTCATTTCCATCACTGCATTCCACCCCAGATTCAGTGAAGCATGTTGGAATTGGGGTCTGGAAGCAAGTAGAAAAGACCCTTTTCTGACTCTTTTGCTCCTTCCTCCCAGCAAAAGTAAAACCACCACTACCGGATGCCCGCGATGTGCGGGGCATAGTACGAGGCCAATTCCTGGCACTTAGAAAGGACATGGCATTTGCTCCCTTTGCTCCAGCTTCATCTTGTACTGGACCAGGCTACACGTGAGATGGATGATCAGTCAAATCTGACCATGGAAAGTAGGCCAGGGAGGTTGCAATGAAAGATGGAGGAAGTGCCAGTCACTGTGCTGCAACCCCCCCCCAAAAGACATCTGTGTGCACACATGCACATGGGCATACACACACATTGTACACAAACATCCAGTCCTCTCCACCAGTTCCACCAGCAGCAGAGGGGGAGGAGGCTGCTACGAGGAAGGCTGGGTATAGAAGCTAAAGAAGCTGGGGACACTGTGGGGAGAACTCTCAGGCTTCAAGAATGAGAACATGGCCTCCAAACCAGGAGTTCTGGGTGCCCTGGAAACTCTAGGCTGGAGAAAACGGACACAGGCAAAGTGCCTGCTTTTTATCCCACTAATGCCTCTTGAGAAGTGATATCTCTCTAAAGCCAAAGTTCCTGAGATGAGGCTTAACGTGGCCACTTTGGGAAAAAACCTCAGCTCCAGGAATGTAACAACAGAAAATAATTAAGGTCTAATAAGGTCAGTGTTCCACCTTAACACCTTTTCAGTTCCAGTTAAAACCTCTACTAATTTGCCAAGAAAAACCAGCCTCACTTAGGTTTTATTATTTGAATCACGTCCTGTCTCTTAATTTAAACGAGAGACTCACATAAGGATTTTTTTTATTTTAAATTACAATGCCGACTTTCTTCTAGTTGATTACGGTATATGACTCTCTGTTGGAAGGCCATTATTTTTTGCTATGATTTACAAAGCATTTAAAGCGAAATCAATGTAATAAATATTGAAGTATTGTAATAGATAATTCCATATATTTAACCGAAGACACAGAACAGCCCTGTCTTGGGCAGCGAGGAGAGGAGCAGGGCACGGATGGGGAGATGAGGAAGGGGCAGAGAATGACATGATAGTCTCGCTTTTGTCCTGGATTCATTTAGCCAGGATTCGCTGAGCCCTCTCTAAGGTGCTACAGCTAGATTTGGGACTGGGGGGAGAGGGGTTTTGTGGGGGTGCCCACGATATGTCCTCTAGGTGCGTTGATTCTTTGGATAAAATCCCTTCAATAGCCACTAATATGTAATGGAGGCCACACGGCCAGGAAGTACGGGGAGGGTGGGGCGGCATCAGGAGCCCCCCGATGAGGGAGGGGTTCAGCAGAGGAAAGGCCTGGGAGAGGAAACAAGTCAGAAGGGTTCCCCTAGCCTTTCTTTTTCCCTTTCTCTTTCCCCCTCCTCTTCTCTCCCGGTCTGAGCTGGCCCAGCTCAGTTCAGAACAAACAGCCTAGCCTGGTATTCACATCCCTGAAAGCCCACAATGCAGGGGAGAGGTTTGAAGGGGACCACAATGCGCCCTCTCCACCACCCCTCCCAGTGTGTGAGCTCGTGTTCACCCCTTGGTAGAGACCCACAGCCAGGAGGTGTGTCCAGGTGGGCAGGGGATGGGCAGCATCTTCTCCGTCCCTCTAGGGAGCAGACAGGAGCACAGGGTCCCCAGTGCAGGCCAAGACAGCCTCCCCTAAAAGCTCAACTAGGACCTACAGTCCCACAGGGACAGGTGCTACACTTCATGCTGCCCTCCTACCTGCCCTCCCTACCAATCTCAAAAAGCACCCAGGAGCAGATTACCCCATGACGCACCCCCCCATAGGGAGCACCCCCTTTTCATCCTCAGAGTCATTGCCTCTGCATTACACACCCCTTCCCAGGGGGGCCCTGTGCCCGCCCAGCTTCCTGACTTGATTCAGATATTCTCACCCACCGGTGAGGGAGGCACATGGGGAGCACCACCAGCCTTTGGTGGGGCCCACATGAACACACCTGTCGTGCAGTCCATGTTCTCTGTCTGCAGGGCCAGGCGAGCGCTGTGCGGATGCTCCTGCAGGTTGTGTGGGCCCGGCACTGCAGGCTAGGGCTGCAGCACGGACAGCAGATGCCTCCATGTACGCGCGCACACAATTAGTAGCTCCCAGAGGAAGATGTATTGTCCCTTGCCTCCCCACCCCAAGCCTGAACCCAAGCCCAAGTCCCTAGCTTTGAACATTTTCCACCATAAATCCCAGGAGGGGACATGCAGAGGGAAAGGAAGCAGAGAAAGGAAATTTACAGCAAACTTGCTTCCTGACACCTCTTTGGCCCATCGCATAAAATAACAATATCACCAGATAAATCACACGAGCTCTCAGGGGACCTTACTCTTGTCCTTATGGGGTCGTTGGTGGAAGTCAGTGGGACATGGTCAGAGAGATCCACCCAGCTGGGTTCTTTGTAACATCACGAGTCCTGCATGGGGGGAGGTAGGGAGGGTGTCTCAGATCTAATTCCTGGAGTATGGGAGAGTCGATAACAGGGTGAGAGTGAAAGGCATTAGTTATCAACACCCAAGAGGGTGTGATAGAATAGATTCAGCGTGGGCTTTGACTAAATTCCAGCTAAAATTCCTAGCTGTGTGTGTTTGAGCAAATTGCCTAATCTCTCTGGGCTTTGGTTTACTTCTCTCTGAATGGTACAGCCTATCCACGTGATAAGCTATATATGAAGATTTATTGAGAATAGTATATGCCAAAGTGTTCAGTATGTAGTAGGCACTCAGATTATGGTAACTGTCATTGTCACAAATGTTTTCCTTGGTCTAGTCTACCAAACATCAGTGTTCCAGCAAAGAGGACCAAATGCCCAGGCCTCCACAGAGAGATGCCATGCTGCTCCCTTCCCCCCTACCTGTTGTTTCAACGTTATCCTGTAAGATTAGAAAGGCCAGACTATTAACTCACAGTACAACTATGGGGAATTTCTTCCCCTTTCCAGGCCTCCAGTTACCTCCCCGGGGGATGAAAAGTTCTTGATCTCTGAGCACTGGTCCATCATAACATCATAAAACCCAGCAATTAGAACCAATTCCCAATGGGCACTGTAACCAAAGAGGGGCAGACAAGTCACAGGCCCTGAGGCCACCTAAGGTGGACACAGACATGCAGACTGGGCAGAAGCGGTCACCAACCTGAAAGGGGGCCAAAGGGCTCCATCCCGCCCATTCTCACCAATCCAAGAGACACCCCACCCTGCCCTTTATTGCTGGATAGCTATTGATGTGGTCTGTGACATCACAGTGATTAACATTCACCCAGAGGGAGGGCTGCCTCCCAGAGGTGGCAGGTGGATGGCAGAGCACCAGCCAGCCTCATCCCTCACACCTGGAGAGCCCTCTGGCTCCCTCCACCAACCCTCAGTGCTGTCTGTCTTCCTCCTGCCTTAGGCATTGTCAGCCATTAAGGACGGGCAGCTCCCCAGAAATTCTCCCCAGCCCCTGGCTTCCCTCCCTTCAACCTTCATTTATCCTTTTCATCTTCTCTCTGTTCTCAGTTTCTTTCCCTCTCTCTGCAACTTCTCCATTCCCTCCTTTTTTTCTCTATCACTAGTCTCTGGTTTAGTTTTACTTCATCCCCGTCTTCACCATTTCTTCCTTTTTCCTCCTCCCAGTTCTCCTGCCTGCTCCTCCACTGCCTTCCTTTTCTTCTCTTTGATTCAGGAGAGCGGAGGTGGTACTACCTTGGAAGAGGAAGTATGTGGGGGGTGGGGAACTGGAGCCTGGAGGGGGCTGGCTCTGGCCTGACACCAACCCCCCCCCCCCCCAGTATCTCTGCAGCCTCAGGAGGATCAGGAGTTCACCCGCAGGGCAGCTGTCAGTGGCTCAGGGGATGGATGAGTGAAAGTGTAGGGGGTGGAGAGAGAGGCAAAGGTGTGGGGAGGGAGCCCTCTTCAAATAAAAATGAAAGGAGCAGGGTGGATGAAATAATGGGACTGTTTAATAGTAAGCACCCCCCACCCCGCCCCAAGATACCTGTGCCCATGGACCCAGCCCTACCACTCACCCTCCTGCAATCCTATGCCCCTGGCCCCATCCCTGAACTTTGGCTCAGAAAGGAGGCCCATTAATGTCCCGGATCCTTTGGGCAAGCCAGAAGGCAGGAGACTCCCTCCCACCCAGGTTCCCAGACCCCCGCCTCCTTCAGGCGTCCCTGTTCCCGCTGCAATTGGGACCCTAGGCACCCAGCTCCCAGGGTGATATCTGGGCAGATTAGTGCCCCAAAGCTGGCAGGCCTATTAGGAGGCCTTTGTGGGGGAGGGGGCTGAGGCAGGAGAAGGGGATTTTCCATTCTCCAAGCAACTGGATTACACAGTCCGGGGATCAGGGAAGAACCCTCTGCTTAAGCTGCCTCTTCACAGCCAGCCTCTGCCCTGGCTGGGCTCTGCATTCTCAGCAGGGATCTTAGCCATCCTGGCTTTGCCTGCTTTTGCGGTATCTTTTTGCTTGTGATCTGAGTCAGGCTTGGGGGCAAAATCAAGTCTTATCTCCCTCAACGCCCCCCCCCCCCCCGGGAGCTATGACACCCAGGAAGAGCTGGAAGGGGGCCAGCTTGCCACTGCCTCCACCAACCCTTGCTTCCATGTCCAGAGATGGATGCAGGAGGGGCGGCTCAGAGAGGTGAAATGACTTGCTCGGAGTCACACAGCAAGTGAAGGGCAACCAGATGCCTTCCTTACTGTGACTAGATCTGTGGGTGCTTGCAAAGTGAGCCATATCTGGGCCAACGACTGGAAGGAGCCCAAGATTCTGGCGTTCTCCCTTATCAGAAGCAGGTTTGGTTCCCAGCTTCAACGCAAACTTTAGAGGGAAAGCTGCCTGCTCCCATTCTCTCTCAGGTTGCAGGGGATCAGGCCATGGCACTTCGTGGAGAGCAGGGAGATGGGAAGGAGACTGAATTTAAAGAAACTAAGGCTTAAGGCCTAGTCCCAGCCTTCCCATTCACCAGCTTTTGCTGTGTGATCTTGTGTCAACCTCGTCCCCTCTCTGATCTTCAGTTGTCTTATCTCCAACCTGGAGATAAAAACAACTCTTGTAATTGTTTTGGAGGCACTGGAAGAGCATGAAACACAGCACCTGGTACATTCTAGCTGCTCAATAAATAATGGTGGGAGCAGAATAGGAGATGGTTTTATTTCCTCTACCCAGGGCTGTGCCCGTTCCCCACACGGAACTCCACTGTTCGGCCAGGCAACTGGTTCTTCCCACTGGGAGGGCAAATCCATCATGTTCAGCAACTATTGGCCTCCCCCACCTGGTGTAAGGTTATTGGGGGGTCATGCTCCCCACACCCTGTGTCCACTTTCTAGAAGGAGGCCTCAACCTCCCACTCCAGCCCCGTGTGGCCTCTTGAGGCCTTTTTACTGACAAAGTGGTCATCTCTGACCTTCTTGATGGCCTGTGTCCCTCCCAGCCTGAAAATTCTATGATCCTGTGACCCCTAAAAGCCCTGCCTTGCTAATGGTTTTATGATCTTCCCTACGGAATCCTCTTTTTGCCCTCCCTAACCCCCAATCCCCTTTCAGTAGGTCTAGTCAAAATAAACAACATTTATGACCAGAGCAGGATTCAAGGTCCGCCTTGCAAACAAATGCAGAGCCCTTTGAAGGTGCCTGGGGAATCCATCACATCCTGGGGTGTGATGCTCCCCAGGCCCAAGGGGAGGTGGACCTGCGAAGGGGTGCAGGCGTGGGAAGCTGAGCTCTGGATCTGGATTGAGAATGCAAACCCTTCGCTGTGTCTGGGGCTGCCTCCTCAGCACCAAACCCTCCCTCCTTCCCTCCCTTCAAAAGGAAAAGGAAAGGGCTGGGCATGGCCCAAGGCATTTGCTGCCATGGACAACCTTTCCTGCCACTGTGGGTGCAGGCCCTCTTGGGGGCCAAGACCTGACTCGGCATGTAATTAGGAGAGAAGTGAACACAGTGAATGAGAGGGGAGAAATAAAGAGCAATTTGAGAAAAGAGTAGCAAACATGAGTGACCTAGAGGATTAGAGCCTAGACCATTGAGGCCTTGGCCTCTTCACTGCCTCTAGGCAACAGTAGCCACACTGGGACAACCTCCTGGAGAAATCTAGTCCAAAGGTTTTTGGGAGAAATCTGCCTATTTGTCAGGCAACGGAGTGAAAGAAAATGGAGAAGAGAGACCCAGGCCTGTTGTAGTGAGTGATAACACTGCTGAGGAGCAGAATCCCTCCTCCAAAAGGAAGGCCTCCCCCTCCACCCCACCCAGGTGGAAGGCAGGACCGCTCCTCAACAGTGGGGGGAAGAGGCCCGCATTGTCCCAGTGCTGCTTCTTGCCTGCTGTGTGGATGAGCCTCAGCTGGGCTCGGCCTCCCCTGGCAGGTGTGGCTGCTGCCAGTGGATTTGTTTTCCAAGGGGACTGGCTCTGCCTGGGGAACTGTTGTTGGAGAATATTAAGGTAGAATTCCCAGAGGCCCAAGTCTGAGCACAGCTTTCTAGGACATACAGCTCAAGGCTCTTTTCAGTCACGGCATCAGCCTGCAGAACTGGGGCATGGGCCTAGGGGCTGGTGTTCTTTGACTCAGAGCTGGAGGAGGGAGAGAACTTTCCCCCTGGAGGCCTGTGCCTTATGCCTTATCATTTACCCTACTAAAAATACTATGCTAGCCGACAGGTTGGGTTTGGATCTAGACAGGAAATAGGTGCAGGAAGCAACGGTATATATCACACTTATTCAGTACCTATGGATAGTATTTGCATAGAATTAATATTGGTTGAGAGTCAAAGATGGAAGCTATGAACAAAGATAGGAAGGAACAAAGAGTTAGAGCTGAAAGCACAGACATGAGTTTTTCCGGGATAAATAAAGCTTATCAAAAAAGTATTCTCTTCCTAAACTGAAAGAAGAATTTTAATGACATGTTATGATCTTATACAAGTAAATTTAAAACTTTCGCTCAGTACCCTAGTGCCCAGCATGAGGCTTTATATATAAAAGGTCCTCCTTGGCATAGAGATTTGGGATTAGAAAGGCCTTTGGGGATCTTCTAGAACAGTGGGTCTCAATGTTGGTTGAATATAGAATCACCTGGGGCATTTTTTTAAATGAGATGCTGGGTACCTCTGTCCAGAGATTCTGATCTAGTTGGTCTGGGGTGGAGCCCAGATATCTGTATTTCTTAAAAGCTCCCAGATGATTCTCTTGTGAAAACAAGTTTGAGAACCCCTAGTTCTCAATATTTCACTTTACAGTTGTAGAAACTAAGAGAGCAGGTTACCTAGGTGCATACAGATAATTGGCAGCAAAACCAGAAGCAGAGAAGCCCCTCCTACATCCTGATTCATTTGTTAAATGAGCAAATAATAGACTGGTCCCTTTTTGGCACCATCTCTGTCAGCAGAGACTACCTATGTAAACCTCTCCTTCCATCCCCACATTTTCATATTATTTTCATCAGAAGCCATGCAGGCTACATCTTGACCCTGCATCCTTCTGGCCTCCCACTCTGAAGGCCTCAGGACACATCAGGGCAAATACCCAATTCAAATAGCATCCCCAAGGTGTGGAGCCTATGAGAACAACAGGACAACTGTCGTACTTGGCCATGTAGAATCCGTGTATGGCCCAGAGCAGGGGTTAATACGAGTGTGTTTGCAACTTGCACAAGTGTGTACAGGCACACCTATGCAGGAGCCTGTGCAAAAGACTCACCAACATGTGGGCGCCTGTCCTCCCAGGAACGACAGCGCTTTCAGCGAGAGCACTTACATAAGTACAGACAAAAACTCACATGTGGGAATGTGTGTGTGTGCACAGTAGCATCCATCTCTATAGTAGTGTATAGTAAGTGTGTGAAAAAATTGTGTATGGTGTACCAAATGCTGATAGATGGCTCCACACTTGCTGGTAGATATATCCATAATTGTGTACAAGTGCATGAAGCCAAATCTACATTTAAAGCATCCACATTTACATTTACCAGTGGAAGCATGTATATAACATGTGCATGGCTGGCTGACTGTGTGGACACGTGTGATTGGCCTTCTGTGTGTGCGGGGTGCAAGTTTATAAATAGAGAGAAAAGGTTTCTACTGTTTCTATCGTATTTCTCCTAAATAATCATTGGGAAATAGATGTGTGGGAAAACTGTATCTTTCATGCTTAAATATATCTCGGCAAATATAAATGAAACATGATATTGTGCCAGCGGAGATGCTGCACATTAACATTGTTTATCA